CGGACAGACAGCAGAATTGCAGGAAAACGGAGAGTTTGAATAGTGAAATATCAAGATTATTAAGGAGAAGGAGTTGTTAACACGTGTGGAGTGGAGAGAGATTAGCAGGAATCAGGGAGATAACGATGAACCACGACTCTCTCGGCTCTGCCTGAATAGAAATGTCATTGCTCACGCTGTGCAGTTGGGTTTAAAGCTTGGGCAGAGCAGGAATCAAGGGGGGTGGAGGAGGGGGTCAGGAGACTGCACCCCTCCTGGATCCACCTCTGCTGCCGTGCCTGCCACCCTCACTAGCAGCTCCTTGGCACCGGCACAATAGCAGCGTGCACGTGCAGTGCCTGGCACAAGCAGCTGCGACTCCTGCTTGGGGAGTGACAGCAAATCCCTCAATACTTGTAGCAGTGGATGCCCAGGGGGCAGCCTCTGGCCAGTTTCACCTGCTTGGGTGCTGGCAGAGTCCCCTGATCCTCTTTGCTCCTTGGATGAGAGAGACATTGAGCCCTGCCCCAGCCAAGTAACGTGGCCTTTAATAGGGCCGTCTGCCTTGTGCTTTTTGACAGTTGGACCTAGCTGAGCCGTCGACTAAAAGAGTGATTGATTTTTGCTCTTTTACTGTTGCAGTCACTGGTTGTGCTAAATAAGGGCAGCATTTCTGCTCCCCGTTCTCATCCTCAGCCATAGCATCTCTTTCCAAGATGGTTCTCCCAGGAGGCAGCTGGGAGGCCACATTAAAAGACTCACTGAGCTCTCTGCATCTTCACAAGTCCTCAAGTAAGCCCACACTGACGTGCTGGGCTCGGCGCTGCCACAGGGATAACGCTTTGCTCTGTGCCTCTCTCCCAAGCGGTGCGCAGAAGTGCATGAAGTGCAAGGAAGGTGCCCCGGTGCTGGTCATCCGTGTCGGAGATGCCTTCTGCAAGTAAGTGTGGCCGGGGGCAGGGACAGGGTTCCCCTTGCTGACGGCTTTACTCATTTCCATAAGCCGGCAGGATGCCAGGCCATGCCCAGCCAGAACTGCAGCAGGGATGAGTTGAGTTTGAGAAGCAAGCACACAGCAGGTTGAACACGTTCAGGAAAGAGGGGCATTGCCCTGTAAGTCCCAGACTTTGGGATCCCTTTCTATTCCTGCAGACACTCGGTGATGAGAGACCCTGTGTTTTGTGGAGGAACAGGGGGCTATAGGGTAGGAGGGGCATTCTGCTTCTGGTCTTCCTGGCTTTTCTCACTTGGGAATAAAGCCCATTTCTCTGAGATAACAAGCTCTTGGCCGGTGGAGTAGGGAGCAGGGAAACTGAGTCACGACTGGTGACTGTTCTTTCCCGGGGTCGCCTTTATTAGCACGGGGTGTGATCACTGGTCCCTGCATCTCAGTGAAACAGCCCCTCATCATCCATCTCTACCTGCTGATGACTGCGATGCAGACTGAACTGCTTCAGGGATCAGTGTATCTGGGAAGAGGGAGGTAGTGACACCCCCCAGCACAGGAAGGAGGGGTGTGCAGGACTCCCCGGCAGAGCGAGCCTGCCGGCTGGTGTCTCAATACTCACCGGCGTTCCCGTGGCTGCAGGGCCTGCTTCCGAGAGTACTTCGTGCACAAGTTCCGGGCGATGCTGGGGAAGAACCGTGTCATCTTCCCAGGAGAGAAGGTAGTGGTGTTTCCAGTGCTGGGGTGAGGGCACAGTGGGGTGCTGCTGCTGGCTGCTGACGGCTCCATCTCCCTTGCAGGTTCTGCTGGCGCTGTCCGGCGGGCCTAGCTCCAGCGCAATGCTCCGGCAAGTCCAAGAGGTATTGGCTCTCAAGACAGCTTGGAAACCTGTCGGCTTCTGGGGAGCAGGAAGGCAGGGGATGGAGCAGCCTTCTGGGACCAAGGCGGATGGCAGGAGGCTGCCAGACCTGCAGAGAGGAGCACTGCTGGGGGGATGGGAATGGTCCAGGAAGTCCAGGCAGTCAGCCTGATCCAGGGCGGCTTTGGCACGTCCAGCCCTCATCTCTGCTGCAGGGGGGTGGCTGTGGCTTCTGCCCCATTTACTGCAACGCTCATTTCCAGGTCCAAACCCTGGACCAGGGGGCAGATGTGGGCTGGGGGCACCTCCAATCTCTAACCCGTGGCAGCCACTAGTAACAGCCTGCTCACTCTTGGCGCTACCTCCTCCCCTGCCATTGCCAGGAGACCCATCAGCCAGAGGAACCTTGTGCAGCCCTGGGGGGAGGACTGACCCATCCCATTTCTCTCCCCAGGGCTTGAGTCGGGAGACGGCGAAGAGGCTGCGCTTTGTGCCCGGTGTCATCTATGTGGACGGTAACCCAGCACGTCCCCAGCCTGCTCCCCCTGCACATGCATGTGGCACTGGAGTGGGCAGAGCCCTGGCATTGGCCATCCCCAATCTATTCCCAGCTTCCAGGGCTCTTCTGGGTGCCCAGCCTGGCCTCCCTTCCCTCGAGGGCTTCTGCTTTGTGGGGAGCAGCGTCTTCTCCATCAGGGGCCCAGTGGGGCAGCTCGGGGCTGGGGGTCTGAAACCTGGCCAGTAGCAGTTGGCCCCCAAATCCCCGCTTCAGCTGTATGCATGGCATCATTTAAGCCAGAAACCCCTGGTTAATGTGAGGAAGGCTTCTCAGGGCACCCCATGGGAGAGGTGCAAGCTCAGGGGATGGGTAGTGCCAGAGCTCTGGCTCCATGGGCCTCTCCTGTGCTGCACAGAGGGAGCCGTGTGCGGGCAGAGCCCAGAAGAGAGAGAGGACACCCTGACTCGGATGCAGGCCCTGCTGCAGGCCTCGGGGTTCCCCCACCACCTGATCCACCTGGAGGAGGTAGGTGGAAGGATGGGTGTGGGAGTGATGGGACCTGGCCTTCCTGGGGACAGGGTCTCATGGGGAGCTCCAGGGGCTGGCACACATGGGACTGAAGAGCCTGTGCTCCAGGCAGGGTCTGTGTCATTGGCTAAGAACCACCTACCTGGCCCTGTCCTCCCAGGTGCGCTGAGCCCTGTGCCCAGAGCAGCTGCCAAAGCCCCAGGGATGAGGGGCATCGTTCATATCCCACAGGCCTCCGCAGGCTGCGATGGCAGGAGCGCTGTCGCAGGGTCCAGGGTGCTGGAGTCCTGATCCCAGCCACACTGCGCTCCTCCATCGGAGTCTCCAGGCTCCAAGGGTGGGCTAGTGTCTCAGCAGCCTCCTGTGGCTTCCTCCCCGCAGGTGTTCGAGCTGCCCAGCTCCATCTTGCAACATGCCCCCCACGCACCCAGCCCACCTGGGAGCAGCTACAAGGCAGCAGTGGAAGGCTTCATCCATCAGCAGCGGCAGGGGGCAGCAGGCACGGGGGACACCATGGCACCTGAGGGGCAGGTCCAGGAGCGGCTGGCAGTGCTCGGCATGCAAGAGGGTGCTGCAGCCTCCCCGGAGGGCCTCCTGCCAGCCAGTGCCCTCACGGAGGAGCTGAGGCAGCTCTTCGGGGCCGTGACGACGCTGACAGCCAAGGAAGAGCTTCTGCAGATGCTGCGGTGCGTGGGAGCCTGACGGTGCCCGAGGGGGAAGGGCTAGACTGCTCCCTTCAAGAGGGGCATTGGGGAAACCCTGGCCCTGGGGGTCTCATTGGCCTCTGGCTGGGTGTGCCTGGTGGGAGCCCCCCCTCTCATGCCCTTCCTCCTCCAGGACCCACCTGATCCTGCACACAGCCCGGGTGCGGGGATACTCCAAGGTGATGATGGGCGACAGCTGCACCCGTGTGGCTGTCAAGCTGCTGACCAACCTCTCCCTGGGCCGTGGCGCCTTCCTGGCCCTCGACACGGTGAGCCCCAGTGGCGATGTGGGTGGGGCAGGCATTGGGGGGACCCTTGTGCACCCCATCTCCCACCCCAGCCAAAGCCAGGGACCCTGCTGCTCCCCTTTCTATGTCCCCAGTTCCCTTGCTCGGGCCAGCCCTGGCGCAGCCCTCCCTGCATCCCGTGGCTCTGCTGCATCGATGCCCAGCCTGGGGGAGATGCTGGCAGTGCCAGGGTGCTAGTCTCTGAGCTGCCTGTCTGTGCCCCCGAGCACGGGCAGGGGGTTTTGCTCTGGGCTGCCCATCCCCACTGGGAGTTAACCCCTCAGGGCCTGCAGCTTTCCTGTCACTCCTCCCATAGCAGGCATAACAGCCCCTTACCCATCTCTGCATGTGCAGGGTTTCATGGACGATCGCCATGGCGATGTGGCGGTGGTGCGGCCCATGCGGGAGTACACTGCCAAGGAGGTTGCCTTCTACAACCGGCTCTTTGGCGTCCCCACTGTCTTCATGCCTGCCCTGGATACCAAGGTAGAGGGGCTGTGGTCTGGTGCACCTCTTTCTCACTTGTTCTGCTGCCTCTGGCATGGAGGGTGGCATGGCCACGTCGCCAGCAGCCCGGGTGTTGAAGCTGTGGGGTCATCCAGCTCGGTGAAGGAGCCCGGGGGGTGCAGGGCCTGTTAGCTCTGGTCCCTGAGGGCCCAGCTGCCGCGGCAGGGGACACAAGGATGGGAGAGCCACAGACCAGCCAGGCCAGAGCTTTGGGGCTGAGACAGGCCCCAGCTCCAAAAGCTTAGCGCCTGCCCAGGGCTGTGTCCACAGGAGCCACTGCTGACTCTCCCCACAGGTCCTGGAGAAGCCCAGCATCCACCGGCTGGTCGAGCGCTTCCTCTACGCCCTGCAGGCCGAGTTCCCCTCCACAGTCAGCACCGTGTACCGGTAAGGCTCATCCAGCACTGCCAGCCTGGGTGCCAGGCATCAGCCCGTGAGTTTGAGGATGGGGAGAGCCAGGGGCCGCGGCTCAACAACGAGGGGCTCCAGCAGGGCTGTGGGTTGGGGGAAATCAGCGCTTGGGGGGCGGGGAGGCAATTAAGCCGTGTATAGTGAGCCCCCAAGATCCCCAGTGCAACCGTGCTGAGCCCCCCGGGGGGTTACTCACCTGCTTGTCCCCTCTGCCTCGTGCAGGACGGGTGAGAAGCTGAGCGCGACCCCCGCAGACACCACAGCCGAACCCCAGCGCTGCCTCCTTTGTCTCTGTGTCCTGGACACCGGTGTGGGTAGGTGTGGGGCACGGAGGGGGTCTGCGGGGCTGCCCATCCTCAAGATCTGCTGGGGCCATTGGCCCATAAGGAGCAAAGTGTTGGTCTTGGGCCCCGGCTGACACAGCTCCTCTTTGCAGTGGAGGGCTCCACGCTGCAGGCGTTGCTGATCTCTGAGGAGCTGTCCAGGAAGAGACCATCGGACCCGTCGCCTACGAGGGGAGGCTGCTGTGCCGGGGCAGGGGCACGCAGGTGCTGTGGGAGCCCCCCAGCCTCTGGGTAAGGAGCAAGCGCCTTCCTGATCCTCTCCCCCACCCACAGCTGGCTCAGCCCAGGCCCAGCTTGTGGTGCTCAGCTCTTGCCTCCTGCCTTTTCCCCGCAGGACCAAGGCCCGGGCTGATTTCCTGCCATTGCTCTGCTATGGCTGCAGACTCACCATCAAGGACATGGTAAGTCTTCTGCCACCCACCCCGGGGTGCCAGGCCAGCTCATCTCCACCCAGTGCTGAGCTCTGCTTTCGGCATGAAGGGGACCCAGGGGTCCGGCCCCTGAGACAGCAGCCAGAGCTCCTAACTGCTGGCAGGGCTGGAGGTCCAGACCTCAGGCAAAGGACCTGGGTGCTGCACCTATCTGGGGGTGGGGGTGTCCCATGAACAGAAACCCTGCTGCCCCTAGGAGGGGCAGCCATGCCCCCGTCTCACCTCCTGTCCGTTGCAGACCTGCCTGGAGCCGCTCCCGCCCTATATCCGGTCGGAGGCTGAGCGCAGGAGGCGCAGGTACCGTGCTGGGGAGATGGCCTTACCCCCTTCATGACAATAAGGGCACTTGGTTCGCACCAGGCTGGACGCTGAGGCCGTGCTCCCTTGCAGGGCCACCATGAAGCAAGAGATCCAGGAGTACTTGCTGGAGGATGAGGCTGCGGAGCCCAAGAGCTGAGCCTGGCCCCCGGTTGCCCCCACGGACAATGCATCTGAGGTCTCTCAAGGAAGAGAGGCAGCTCCCCGGGGCAGACCACTGCATGGCTTAGGCCTGGGTTTCCCAGCAACTGGAGTCTTCATCCCGTGCCCATGCACCGGCCCCAGTCCACTCACTCAGCTCCAAGCAACCTTCCAGCTAGAGGACGCAGCTCCCGGCCTGCCCTGGGTTGCGGTTCCTGAGCTGGCCTGTCTGACCAGGTGGGCACAGTCACCCTCCACAAACCCCAGCCTGGCTCCGGGGCCTCCAACTCAGCCCCTGCCATGCCACACGCCCTGTGCCAGGGCTGCCTGCATAGACAGAGGGGGTCGGTGGGCGAGCTGGCTCCAGGCCCCTCACCCCCATCCCACCCCCTGCCCCAGCAGTCAGTCCAGGACGCACAGAGCCTCGGCTTGATTTTTATTATATATCTGTATAAATAAACCATTTGACGTTACAAAAGAGTCCACAGTCCAGCTGGAGCAAGCCCCACGGCTAGGGGTGGGGTGGGGGGGAACAGCCACACTCCGCTGAGTTCCTGGTGCTTGGCAAAGTCCACGGTGCCCACAGGCAGCCACCGGGGCCCTCCTGAGCTCCACAATGCCCGGAGGGCCCCGGGGCTGTGCTGGGAGAAGGGGGGCTATTGCTTCCACGTGTTTATAGTGCAACCTGCACCCACGCCAGGGCTCTGGGGGTGCAGCTCAGCCTGGGGGCAGCCCAGCCTGGAAGGCACTGCGGCAGGGGGGTGGGGAGCATCCCGCAGGCAGGGATAGGGGCTGGCCACCCCCACCCCTTTCTAAGGGTTTTTTAAGCTGTTAAGAAAATTCCTTTTAAAAAGCCCACGGCTGAGCCCCTACGCAGGCGCCTCTGCTCTCTGGCACGGCTCGGGACCGGGGCAGGGGGTGCGGGCATGGAGCTGGCTCGCGGTGGGCCCCTTCACCCCGCTCCGGGCACCTCCTTGCCCTGGCAGGCGCTGGTGTAAGGCATCCACTGTGACAGTCGGGGGTGCGGCCGGGGCCCTACTCCTTCTCCCGCGTCCACTTGATCATGGTCTCAGGGGAGCGGTAGAGGAAGATGAGCTTGGCGTAGAGTTCCTCCTCCAGTGCCAGCTCGCCCGTCTCGCGCACGAGGAAGATGTCCTGGCACAGCTTGAGGATGCGGTCCACGCACGGCAGCTCCTCGAACATGATGGAGTGCGAGATCTCGCTGAAGAAGCCCCGCACGAACTTCCCGATCACCAGCACGATGGACACGTACAGCCCCATGATCCTGCCGGGGCGGCACTAGGGTCAGCGTGGGGGGCACCTCTCCCTTCTCTCACCCTCCACACCCAGCCAGGCCCCCGCTGTGTCAGTCTGGCCCAGCCTAGCTGCCTTGATCCTATTTCTAGGGTCTCTGGGAGCCAGCCACCGCCTGAGGGCACTTAGCTGGCAGGGGAAATGGGGTAGGAGCTGGGATGGGAGACTAGGAAGCCCCCATGCCCTGCTTTCTGCATGGCAGTGGGCAGAGCTCAGTGCTTGTAGCATGCTGTGGGCAGCTGTGCCCCCCTCCAGCCCCAGGACTCCCCCAAAAAGGTGCATCTCTCTCCGCTCCCACCCTGCAGGACCCAAGAGCCAGGTCCGTAACCCTGACCCACAAGTTTCAGACCCGTGACCCTGACCCAGCAGAGGCTGGGGACTCTTAGGGCTGTGGCGTGTGGGATCCCGGCACTCACCCGTAGCCGGCCAGGAAGCCCAGGCTGGGCGGGCTGACTTTGTCGTTGAAGATGACCATGGGCAGGATGCTGCAGTCGGCGGGGCGGGTGCAGTCCTGCAGCCGCACCACCCACCACTCCAGGAAGCCGTCGCCCCCGGCCCCCGTGCCCACGCGCTCCCGCTTCAGCTGAACCTCCACGTCCAGGTAGCTGTCCTCCTCATCTGCGGGGGAGAGAGGGGGTCAGGACATGGGCTCCCACCCTGTGTGCCCCCCATTGCTGCTTCCAGGGCAGCAAGGAGCAGGAGGACCTCGGTCATGTCCATCTGTCCTGGAGTGACAGCAGGACAGAGGGACGTGAGGCTCATTCTCCCCCCCAGTTGCCTTCCCCCTTGCCCCCAAGCCAAGCCACAGGTACCCAAGCTCCCAGCGTCTGCTGGCCCCAGGGTCAAAGCAGAGGTGAGGGCCCTGGTGCTATAGGAATACCCCCGGCAAGCTCACTCACCGGGCAGCAGCTGCTTGACGGGGTTGGCCTCGGGGCCGTTGGGCGCCCGGATGTACTGCGGGAAGAGCTTGGGGACCCGCCTGCAACAGAGTGAGGTGTGATGGAGACCACCGGCTCCACCTGTCCGTCTCAGCTCGGTGTGACAGCATCTTGGTACAGGCTGTAGGGTTGCTGCACCCCTGTGCAGCAGCTCTGGGCATGCCACCCCTGCTCTGGGCCAGCCCGGACACCTGGGTCCTTCCAAACCAGCTGGCACTAGGGACTGAGCTGGTTGCTGGCAGCAAGGACCCTGCACAGCCCTGGCAGCCAGTCCCATAGGTGCAGCTCTTGGGTGCTGCCTGAAGCAGCCAACCCCTGACTGGTTCCAGTTGCCCCTTTCCACATCTGTCTGCAGGCACGATGCCCCTGGACTCCCACCAGCACCCCCTCCCCGCTGCACAGTGCGAGGTCTCTGCACACCCAGGCAGGGTGGGAGGCCCATCCCATCCCAGCCGGACCCCCAGCTCCCCACCAGCCCTGCACTCACACGGGGGCATCCCGGGTGCCCTGCAGCAGCTGGGCCAGCTCGGAGCGCACGGGGGTGCCAGGCTGCAGGTCGGTAGTGTGCTTGTCGAAGGTGTGCTCCACGGTGCCGCCCTTGCCCAGGTCCCTGTGGGGAGGGAGGACGTGAGCTGGGAGCAGGGACAGGATGGGGTATCTGCCCTGCCCAGCCCAGGCTGGCTGGGACCTCTGGAAGTCCCAGCCCCAGCCCCAGCCCTAGCCCGCACCTCTGGAAGCTCCAGGTAAAGCGGAGGGTGATGTCGGACGAGCCGTTCTGCAGCTCCCGGCGCATCTGCTCACGGCTGGGGGGGCTGATGCTCCAGAGCGAGCCGGAGCTGCCCTCGATGCGCGCCGTCACGATGTCCTCGTAGCCGTACAGCGTGATGAACTGCATAGCCACCTGCAGTGTGGCGACACGGGGGTCAGAGCCTGGAGCCATACAGCAACCCCCCCTAGCCCCATGGCAGCCAGGCCCTGCCCCTCGGGAGCGCTGGGGGTCCCTCACCGGCTGCCTCTCGAAGTGCTTGGTGAGGTCCTCGTAGTCGCGGGGCGTGAAGGGCTGGATGGACTGCTGCTGCGCGCTCATGGTGAAGAGAGGCTGCGGCACGGGGAAGGGGGAAGCCGTCAGTATGGGGGGAGAGGGTAGAGACTCGGGACCCCGTCCCCCCAGGCAGTCCCCTATGGAGAGCAGGGACTGGACATCACCTCGGGAGGGTCTCCCAGGGCTCTGCCCGGCCCTGGGGTCCGGCACGGGTCGGGAGAGGACCCAGGAGTCCTGGCTCCAAGGACAGAGCCCTGCCCCGCCAACCAGGCAGCTCATCCCTCCGGAGCCAGGGAGGTGGGTGAGAGATGGGCATCTGCCCCGGTGGCACCGCCCTCCTGCCCTAGCACAGCATAGGCTCCACCCCCACCTGGGGCACAAGCTGCACCCCCAGGACAAGCTCCACCCTCATCTAGGGCACAGGCTCCTCCTCCAGGACATGCTGAGCTCCCATCCAGAACAAGCTCCACCCCCATGAGACCCCACCCCCCATGACAAACTACACCCCCATCTAGGGCACAGGCTCCTCCTCTAGGACAAGCTCCACTCCCATCTAGGACTCAAGCTGCCCCCCACGTATCAAGCTCCACCCCTACTTGGAGGGGGCTCCACCCCATCGCAAGCCCCACCCCCAGTTGGAACAGGCTCCGCCCCCTGTTACCTCGTAGCCGCCCAGCTTGAGGGTGACAGTGACGTCGATGGGGTGGTTGACCACCCCCACCACGGAGCGCACAAGCGACATGAAGAGCAGCGGGAACCAGATGATGCAGATGAGGAAGAGGATGATGAGGCCGCCCATGCCGTACTTGACAATCTTTTTCTTCTTCTGGCCCTTGGGCTGCGGGTATTTCTGCGGAGGGGGAGCGGGGGTTCAGGGCAGGGGGTCCCCAGACCCCCCCACATCTGCCCCCAGCTGGGAGGGGGGTAGCAGCCCTTGCTGGAGAGGGACCCGGGGCCAGAGACGGGCAGTGCCCACCTTCTCGGTCTCCCGGCTGCACTTGATGATGAAGATGTTGGCGTAGATGTCCTCCACGCACATCCAGTTGGACAGGGACAGCGTGGTGTCGGTCCAGACCCAGTCCATCACGGCGCGCAGCTCCACCAGGAACGGCACCAGGCGAAACCTGTAGTGTTTAAGAGGTGTTGGGGGCGGTCGCCGGCTGCACCTCCCTGGGAGCCAAGCTGACCGGCATCCTTCACCTCCCGTCCCAAATGCCGGTCTCGGCTGGGGGTCAACCCCTGCAACCCCACCCCATGCTACTATCGGAGGGCAACCCCCTATCCCTACCCCCCCAGCCACTTGGCTTAGGGCAGCAGTGCCTCCCCGCCGGGGCAGGTACCCTTGGAAGAGGAAGAGGTTGAGGTGGTTGTATTTCTTGGTGAGGAAGTTGCCCAGGATACGAGTGGGGTAGCCGCAGCGGATCTGATAAGCCGACAGGGCGAAGTAGATGCACTTCACGAAGTACCAGAGTTGGGCCACCGTGTTCAGGCTGAACATCCTGCGGGGAGATGTGGGGGAGGCGCGTCAGGCCCAGGCTCCAGGGGTCCCCCCCGAGTTGGATCCAGGCTGGAGAGAGCAGGGGGCGCGTGCACCAGCCACATCCCCCTGCCTACAACAGGGCTCATTCACTGCCCTCAATGCCCCCACCCCGTCACGGGGAAGCCCAAAGGCAGGGCCTGGCCCATGCACGCCCAGGAAAGAGAAAAGGACCCAGGTGTCCCGACTCTCAGCACAAGTGGAGAGCCCGCAGGACCCCGGAGCATGGGGCTGAGGTGCCCAGGCACCCGCTCGTCCCTGGCGGCCACGGTGGCAGGGAGGGCCGGACCCCGGTACCTCTCGGTGACGGCCGGCAGGATGAAGAACATCCAGAGGTGGATGCCGAAGACGAGGATGACCTGGAAGATGAGCTTGCCCAGCACGGTCTTGCGGAGGTAGAGAGCTCGGTCGATGACCATGGTGGAGAACTGGATGAGCAGCATCACCAGGAAGGCCTCGGGCACCTGGTCGTCTGACAGCGAGGACGTGATGTCCGCGGCCGCCGAGTGCTTCTGCGGGGAGCCAGACAGATGTCACGGGAGGGGGGCCAGACGCTGGTAGGGCAAGGGGCCAGCATGCAGCCCCCTCCTGCACAGCTCACCCCAAAGGCCCAGAAGCCGAAGATGATGATGATGAAGTCGACAACGTCGGCCAGAAACATGAGGGCGTAGACGTCGGTGGCCGCCCGGTACTGCGTGTGCAGGATGTCCCGGAAGAAGCTGCGCACCGGCTGGTACATGCGGTGCGTCCTGCCAGGCAGTGGGTGGGCACCGGGGTCACCGGCACCGTCCCCTCCACCCAGGAACAGTCTCCACCTCCCCCAGCAGCACCAGGGGCACTACCCGGGTCCCTCTCCCCAGGAAAGCTCCCGTGCCGTGTCTCTCTCAACCTCCAATTCCCCTGGGGGAGAAGGGAAGGGAAGGGAAGGGAAGGGAAGGGAAGGGAAGGTGGCCCCCGGGCACTTACGCAGCCAGGAAGCAGCTCTTGACTCGGAGCCCAGCAGCCTTCAGCCGCTGTCGGGATGGACTGGGCTTCTCCTCCTCCTCCTCCTCTTCCTCTGCCGTGCCCTCCTCTGCGCTCAGACACAGGGCGAAGCGTCACCCCCCTGCTCCCACCTGGCACATCCCTGCCTCAGCCCTCCTGCACGGGGCTGGGAGAGTAGGGGTGCAGGGGCCTGGGCCGGTCCCTCTCTGTTGTCGCCCAGACTCCACATACCTGCTGCAGCCTCCACCTTCTGCTTCCTGCCCCATTTTTTCTTCTTCTTCTTCTTCTTCCTCCTCAAGCGCAGCTGGCTCGCCGGCTCCCCATCCCCCCCCCCTTCCTCCAGAAGCTCTGGCTCTGGCCCCAGGACAGCCAGCTCCACCGCCCCATCGTCCCCACTGCCCAGCACAGCCGGGGGCTCTGTGGCCTCAGGCGCCTCGTCCTCCGCCCGCTCGGGCTCCCGCGGCGGCTTGACATCAGCATCCTCATGATCCCACAAGCCGTAGCGCTGCAGAGGGTGGGGAGAAAGCCCCAGCATCAAGGCTCAGGGGCACAACCCTGCCCCACTTGAGGCCTGGCTCCCGGGAGCTCAGGCAGGTGCCCGCAGCCCCGTCCCAGGGCTCTCACCTGCAGGAGGGAGCGGTGGAAGAAGAGAGCCATGAGCTGGATCAGGTCGTACTTGATGTAGCGGTCGGTCTTGTCCAGGCCCAGGATGCGGGGCGGGAAGTAGGGCTTGCCCTCATTGCGCACCAGAGAGGAGTAGCTATTCCAGGGGAAGAACCCGAACTGGAAGAGGTATTTCACCACCACCATCACCTGCGACAGAGGAAGGTGGCAGGTCAGTGGGGGCCAGGGTCCCGGCAGCGGCAACCCCCTCCGGCTGCACGCAGCTCCCCCACACCGAGCACGAGGCTCCCCAGTGCCCGCCGCAGACCCAGACCCCACCTCGGTGTAGACGATGGCGGTCATCCAGAAGCGCTTGCTGGGCCGTGGGATGGAGAGCATGGCCCAGAGGAAGACGAGGATGGGCAGGAAGAGGGAGATGACGGAGGCGGAGACCATGTTGTTGAGGATGATGATGAAGTAGCAGAGCAGGTCAGAGTGGGCAGCCACGAAGCGGTACAGGGCCAGCAGCAGCTGCAGCGCGCGATTCTGTGCCCCGTAGAACCGCTCCGACTCCTCCAGCTCCTCAAAGGAGAACTGCCTGCAAGGCACGGGACAGATCCGGGCGGCACTGAGCCTCTGGGGTCGGCTCCCACTCCCAGGGACCCCGTGCCGAGTGTGCCCAGGGGCACGGCTGTGTCACGGGGAGGCACCCAGCACATGCACCCACCCCGGAGACCCCGAACATCAGGGCTACAGACTGACTACAAGATGGCCCTAGTGAGGCACGGGTACCACGGGCCTGGAGGATGCCCCTGTGCACCAGGCCTTTCACACAAAGCTTCACATCAGCATGAAACTGAGCTAAGCACTTGAACCCTACTCGCTAAACACCCGCCAGCCACTACCTGTGTGACAGCAGCTCGCTGGCCGTCCGCATCCGGCTGCGGGGATGCGCCAGCAGCTCCTGGGACCCCTGCACGTCTTCCTGGGAGCCCATGGCCACGCTCTGCTCCTCGCTGCTGCTTCGGGCGTCCTCGCCAGCTGGAAGGGCAGGAGCACTTGGGGGCTGAGCCCCCTTGCTGAGCGGGTCCTCACTGCTGCAGAGGGTGGCAGGGAGGGTCAATGCCAGGACAGCACAGGCAGCAGGGTCTGGACCCAGGCCTCTGCTCCCCACAGCGGGTCAAAGCCGGGAGCTTGGCACCATCCCAGCCTGGCCTCAGGAGAAGGGGAACCCCCCTGCCCAGATGCTGATCAGCCAGAGCAAGGACACGACTGCCTTGCACTGGGGTCCCTGCAGCCCTGCCCGGCCCCCTACTCATCTATGCACCTGCCTGGAAGCTGCGCCGTTCTGTGCATCCCGGGCAGGCCCCCCCCGTGTGTCGGTCTCCTCCGAGGCAGGCACGTCATCCGCCGGCAGCTGGTACAGGTCATCCAGGGCCCCGTGGGGGTCCTCGTCCTGCCAGGGAAGGGCACGCAGTCACATCCCAGGGCCCCAGCATGGCTGCTTGGGGAGCTGCCAGGCATCCCCCGTGCTCCCCCCACATCCTGTACCTTGGCAAGCTTCTGGGTGAGGACGTATCTCTCGACCCAGAGGATGGTGGACATGTCGGCGTGCTCCCTGGTGATGGCACGCAGCCACTGCGTCAGCCCGTCCCCCGTGGCCTGGCACAGCACCCCCAGGAAGCGCAGGGTGCTCAGCATCCGCTGCACCACGTTGCTCTTCTCTGCAAGGGGAGGGAGGGACTGCTGAGCCCGGCTGGAGGGGCACCAGCCCTCCCCATCTGGGAGGGCGCAGGCCACACTGTGCTGCTGACTTCACACAGCCAGGATGCAGGTTGAGCCCCGCCTCACCCCCAGCAAAGGGGTCCCCAGTGCTGGACTGGGGAGATTTGGGCCTTTCCTGGGGCATCTGATGCCTCCTTGCTCCAGGGTGGGTAAGAGCAGGCTGAGAGCTCTCACCTGCACCCTTCCAGCCCTGCGCTGCCCCAGCAGGGGTGGACGCCGGCAGCGGGTGAGTCCTGGGCACACCAGGCAGGGACATGCCCTGTCCCACCTGCCACCCATCCAGCTAAGGCAACAGGGCTCTGACCCACCTGCCTCCTCCTGCTCCTCCTCTGGCACCTCGGGGGTCTCAGCTTCAAACACATCTCCAGCCGCACCATCGCCTGCAGGACATAGAGCAGGTCACATCCTGCAGCCAGCTGCGGCACCCCCAGGCAATGCTGGTGCACGGGATCCTGTGCCGTGAGCAAGGGCAGGGGTGGGGAGCAGGGAGCCCGTCTTACCTGCTGGCGTCTCGGCATCCTGCTGCTCTTGCTGTTCCCGCTGCTGCAGCACGGACTTGGTGTTGGTCACCCAGGCTTGGTACGCCAGCTAGCCAAGATAGGGCAGAGACTCAGCACTGGGTGGCCACCCCCATCCATCAAATACCAGCACCCACCTGCCCCCCGGGGCCTGGTGAGCAGAGGGACCCTTGGGGCATGTGGATGCAACCCCTACTTTGACAGCTGCTCCCCTGCTGTCTGCACTGACTTGCTAAAATGCAGCAGGCACCTGCCAACACCAGCCAGCTGCCAGGCCCAGCGTGGGGTGGGGGTGGCACTGAGACCCACACCATGGGGGGTCGTCGCTGCAATGGGACCGGGGTTGGGTCCAGCAAAAGTGGGGATGGGAGGAGTGGGGCTGGAAAGGGATGGAGAGAGGAGAAACCAGGCTGGGGCAGGCAAGGGGTGGATGGATGGACAGATGCATGGAAGGACGGATGACAAAGGACCACAAGACTGGAACGGGTCCCCTAAGTTGAGACGATGGATGGATGGGAGACAGGCAAACAAGCCCAGAGCAGCAGCTCAGGTGCCCTCTGTGCCACCCATGGCACCCGCAGGCCCCAGGAGGCCACCTGCCCTCACCTGGAAGGCGCTCTGCTGAGCCGGCCTCTGCTCCTCCGGCGTGGACGACTCCTCCTCCTCGCTGTCCGACTCGAACAGGAAGTACTCTCCCGAGTGCAGCACTGCGCGGGGTGGGAACACACATGCCAGCATCACCCCGGGCACCGCAGCAAGGACGCCCACTCCCTGCCTCCCCCCGGTGCTTGGCATCACCCCCAGCCACCACCCCGGGGCTTTCTCAGCTCCCAGCCACGTGGCACAGCTAGGGCATCCAGAGCTGGCCCACAACCCCACGGCCAGCTAGGCATGGAGAAGTGGGGGTGCTGCCCAGGCCTGGCTGGGACATCCTGGCACCAGGCAGCCAGACCAGGACCCCTGTGTCCCAGTGCCCCTTGAGCTCCCAGGGCACAACTGCCCGTGCAATGCCACCACCCCTCCGTGTGCAGGGCCTCACTGTGTGCTGCACACGGGTCACATGCATGTCTTGCCCACCCAGCACACCCCCCGCCGAGCCCAACCAGCTGGTCCCCGACTCAGACCCACCAACCACCTAGACCCAACCCCCTTCTCCCTCCAAGGTTAGTCCCGAGAAGCAGAGAAACGCAGAGTTAACCGAGCCCCGGCCCAGAACCAGCAAGAAGGGGCGGTGGAGGTGGATCGGAGCCATGCGGGGCACCCATGGAGTCAGTGATGGAGGCGCGGGCGGCATGGAGAGGGGCTGTTAGTGACCCGCCACCAGGCATTGGAGCCGTAGGCATGCGGGCAGTACCTGCGGCATGGTCTAACCAGGGCCGCCACCACCGCGTCTGCTGCCGGGAAGGGGCCTTCCTGCCCCCGGGCTCTGCGGAACGACCACACGGCCGGGTGAGGACGGCACCGCACAGGCAGGCGGCCCAGCTCCTGCCAGGCTTCGGGCCAGGGGCAGACCTCGGCATGGAGCGGGGAATGCCAGGGGAGCCAGCTCTGGGGTTGTTTGGGGACTGGGAGAGGGGACCAGGGACACAGGGCAGGGAGGCTTTGGCTGGGCATGAGACCTGCTGGGCTCTGGGGTGATGGCGCTGCCAGGATGCACGGGTTCAGGGTGGGCACAGCTGGGCTGGAGTGGGGCTGAGGACAGGCAGGGGCAGGAGATGGAGCCCCAGGTAGGCCTGTCCCATGCACCTGGCCAGGGACTGTCACCTCTGTGCTACACCAGCCAGGCAAACAGCCCTGGGCTGGGGACAGGCGATGGCTGGAGCAACTCGGGGCAGGTTGCTCCCCCCGTGCACCCCCTCACCTGTCCGGTCGTCCTCAGCACCCTCGGTGGGGTCGCTGGGCAGCCTCTCCTGGTGGTATTTCTCCTGCTTGGCGCGGATCCGCTCCATCCTGTGGCAGAGGCGGGCCAGCTCTGTCCCTGTCTGTCTGCCCCTTCCCCAAGGCCCCCCGGGACCCCTCGCCGAGCCCCTACACACTGCGATGGGTGGCAGCACTCCTGGCTGGACCACGGACCCCACCCCAGTCTCCTCTGCTCCCCCCACAGCAAAGGGGCGGCCCACCCTGAAAGCCCCCCACCCTGCCAGGGACCCCTCCACGGCCACTCACTGCCGCTTGAGCTGCACCAGCGATTTCTTCTCGGCCTGGCGGTGGAAGCTCATGCTCTTCAGGATGCTGGCCTTGAACAGCGCGAAGCCCCTGCCGAGACACCGCGGACAATGAGCACCAGCACAGCCCTGGCCCCCGGTCTCCCCCCAACCAGGGGTCAGGAAGGGGCAACAGCTGCAGAGAGATGCTCTGGCATCTCCCGTGGGGCCATCAGAGCCAGCACCTTGGTCCCTGCCAGTTGGGGAAGGCATGGGGACCCCATGTCGGGGCTTCTGGTGCCTGGCACTGCAATGGAGTCACACATGTGCATACGCATGCATGTGCATACACATGCATGTGCAACGTGTTGGTGTCTGAGGCAAAGGCAGACCGCACCCCCCGCTGGCAGGGCCTCCCTGGAGAAGTGAGCTCCCCCAACCATCAGCCTCACCTGGAGGCCTGCAGGGCAGAGGCCTGGAGGTCGGCGGTGACATGCAGGAAGTAGTAGCTGAGGAAGACGCGGCGCTGGAGCAGCAGGAAGAAGAAGCAGATGCTATCCCAGATGATGCCGGCCTCCTCCACAGGCAGCGCACAGTCCTGGTCCCGGCTCATGCTCTTGGCTGGCAGAGGGGAGAGGGGACGGTCAGGCACCTGGGGCCGGACTCACTCTGGGGGATGCCCCCTCACACTGGGACACCCCCAACCCTGTACCCCAAAGACCCCTGGGAGCCTCTGTCCCCTCCCAGCCCCTGCACCCCCAGTGCTGGGAGGGACACAGGGAGGTGATGCCAGGGCAGGTACTCACGGTCATAGTAGCCCTTCACGGTGCACACCAGGCTGAAGAGCTGGATCACCCAGCAGAAGCTGCTCTGCATCTGCTGCACGAAGACGCAGGAGAGGAGCTGCGGGAAGGAGCAGGGGATGGGGCGGTCAGGCAGCTGCAGGAGCCTTGGGCTGCCCTTGCCCCAGCTCCCAGCTGCATCTGCCTCCTAGGTAGCACCCCTCCTTCTCCCCCTTGCAATGCCAGAGCAATGGGCACAGAAGCGGCAGTATGGGGGGGTCCCTTCCCAGGCCCTGCCCTGGGCACCTACCGAGAGCATGTTCTTGGAGATGATAACGGTGACGTTGTAGAGGATGAGGCAGTCCCAGATGGCCAGGCGCGCCCGGGCCGGCTTGCTCAGCATGGCCGTGCCGAAGAGCAGCAGGTAGAAGCAGGCCAGCAGGTAGCCCAGGCCGAAGATACTGATGCGAGTGGCGCCCGTGATGAAGACCACGACCAGCACGAACCAGAAGAGGTAGCGGAAAACCACCACCTTCAACATGTCCAGGTAGGACCTGCCGACGGAGCCAGGATGGGGCGGTCAGGGCAGCCCCGGGGGTTTAGGATGCCTGTCCCAGCTGCAGGCCGCTCCCCGCAGCTGGGGCACTGCAGGTCTGGGGGTCCCTCTCTCCCTCCACCCACGGACTGTGACCGGCAAGGGGCCGCATGAGCGTTTCGTGGGCATCCCACATCCCGGGTCTCAGCCCCTGACAGCGTCACCTGCATCTCCGGGCACCGTGCTGATGGCCCAGCCGCTGCCCCTCAGCTGTGTCCCAGGTAGCACCCCCTGGCCATCTCCCCCTTCCAATGCCAGAGCGAAGGGGCAGCACAGGACATCCCTGGGAGCCAGGCACCCACCGGCAGTTGATGAAGTTGGGCACAGGATTGTGCCCGTCACGAGCAGGGTCCAGGTGGTCGGTGTTCTCGCCGGCCGCCCGGCGCCACTCCTCCGTGCGCTCCGCCTCGAAGACCCGCCACTGCTGGGAGGCGCAGAGCAGCAGCAGGAAGTCGCCTGCGGGGACCAGGGGGTCAGAGCCGGACCTGCAGACCCCTCCCCAGGGCATTGTCCTGGCTCCTCCCCCTCCCTTGCAAAGAGGTGGGACTCCAGCTAGGCTCCACCCTAAAAGGGGCCAAGCCACGCACCTTTCTTGCAAAGGGGGTGGACCTCCAGATAAGCTCCTCCCCCAGGGGATGAAACCACAACCAGGATCCTCCTCCTTCCTTAAGTGGGCAGGGTCCCGCCTCCTCCCTGGGAAGTCAGGATCCTCCTCCTTCCTTAAGTGGGCAGGGCCAGCCCCAGGTCCCGCCTCCTCCCTGGGAAGCTCAGCCCGAGATCCAGCTGGTAGGGATCCCTGCCTGCTCATGGACCAGTATGCAAGGGGCAGGACAGCGCCCAGTACCCGGGAGTCTGCTCTCCATGGATGCGGAGCACGGGCCTGCGCCCAACCTCTGCCGGGAGGACGGACAGGCAGGGGGACAGGAGGACATGCCAATGCCCCGGGGGGAGCTGCCCGTACTCACTGATGAGGTTGATGGAGTTGGGCGCCATGTAGAAGTCGGGCAGGTACATCCACTTGATGAGCGCCGAGTTGAGGGGGATGGAGCGGCTCCACCTCCAGGGGTAGTCTGCAGCAAGAGGGGGGTCAGTGGGACCACAGGGGTGAGGGGGGCAGGCACATCCTCTAAGGACCCCACTCCCCACCCTGGGTCCTAAGAACCCCCTGGCTGCCCCCAGCCCCCTGCAAAACCTATTTGGGGTGCCACCTCCCCCCCCACCCCATGTGCCCCCAGGAGCTGCAGGCTCACGCCTACCCCAGCTTGACCCCCGTCCCTGCCCTTTTACCTTTGCAGAGGGCTGGGGGGATGCCCACGCACAGCAAGTACTGGTAGAGCAGGAAGAGAGCCAGGAAGAGGCAGTACTTGGGCCAGAGGCGGGCCACGGCGGCGCGGCGGCGCCGGGTCAGGATGACGACTAGCCAGCAGCCGTGCAGGATCACCATGAAGTTCATCCTCTGCCCGATCACATTCACCGTCATCAGGAAGCAGATCTAAGGAGGGAGGGAGGGGGCTGAGCCGCTATCCAGGTACCTCCTGTCGTCCCCTCTGCAGGTGCTTGCTGGACCAGGGAACCCCCCGCCTGAACTCACCTCCAACCCAAACTTGTAGTAGAAGTAGTTGAGGAAGTACTGGGCGCAGGGCAGCAAGCCTTGGTCCAGCCGGGCATGCGTGCCCTCCTCAAAGATGGCCTCGGTGGCGGGGGGCACCAGCTGGTGCTGCCGGCGGTAGTACTCCTGGCGCCGGTACACCGCTGCCTCGAACACCAGCAGCAGCAGCACCAGCAAATGGTTCTGTCATGGGGACAGGGGCAGGGGTTTGAGTCCCGCCTCGGGCCCCAGGTGCCGGCTCTCGCAAGCCCAAGCTGAGCCAAGGACTGTGGGGACGGGAGACGGGGGTCACGCACCTGGATGTAGCCCAGGTTGGGGTAGCCCTTGCGGATGCCAAACCAATTGGCGGGGTCCACCGGGCCGCGGTACAGCGTGGAGTTGTGCAGCTCTGCGGCCGGCAGGTTGGTGCTGTTCAGCAGAGGCTGCGGAGCATGGGCGGCCGTGAGCAAGGGCAGAGGGGGGGGGGTCTCCAGTCCCTGCTGCGAGCTGGGCACCACCCCGTGCCCTCCTCCACCCAGCCCAGCAGCCAGATGCCCAGGCCAACCTGGGTGCATGGGCCAACCTGGGTGCAGTTGCTGTAGTAGTCACTGGGCTGGACGACCTCAAGCTGATAGAGCATCTTGCAGACTATGATGATGCAGGTCCAGACAGTGGAGAGGCAGGAGGCCATGTGGCGGAAGCGCCCATAGGGCAGCGCAAAGGCCCACAGTGCCACCAGCAGGAAGTTCATCACCGACACCTGCACAGATGGATGGACAGAGGTCCAAACAGGAGCCAGACCCCGCCGCTTGGCCACCATGCCGGTGCCAGGGGAGAGCTGATGCAGCCTGAGGACCCCCTGAGGGGCTGGCTCCCCCCAGCAACAGGGCAGACTCCCCTGCCACCTATCCAGGACCCCATGGATGGAGGGAATCCCTTGGACTCCAGCTAGAGCCCCCCCTCCAGGGCTTCTAAAGCCCTTGCACAGCCCACCCCCAGCCCTGGTACCTCCTGCAGTGCCACCCAGACGGTGTACAGCGCCACCAGCTTGAGGACGTGCAGCTCCAGCATGCGCCGCACGAAGACCTGCCCCCGCGTCAGCACGTCCGAGAAGCTCCGGCCCAGCACCTCCAGCCGCTCCAACACCAAGCCCCACTTGCTGGGCACTGCTGCAAGCAAGGGGGTGGCGTGGGGGACAGGACAGCCCGTCAGCCAGGCTGGCACCTGTGCGCCCCTGCCCCGGGCAGCTGGACCCACAACGAGCCCAGACACCCCGACCCCAACGGGGCAGGGTCTTGCTGCACTGCACCGGGGGGCACTCACCTTCCGAGGCAGTGTCTGAGCCGCCCTGCTCGGCCTCAGCCTCGCCGCCTTCCTCCTCCTGCCCCTGGGCATCCCGCAGCAAGCGGCTCTCGTACTCCTCCTCCTCGGGCCTAGCGGGGAGGGAGGGGTCAGCACGGGTCACCCCACGACCCTCCGCATCTTGCTTCGGCTCCCCCAGCCCCACCCAGGATGCAGAGAGGCAGGCCCCCCACCCTGCTGAGACTGCGGACCCCTACCCCCCTACCCCTTCCCAGCAGCTCAGCCCCAGCCCCGGAGGATGCAGCCACACCGCTCCCTGGTGCAGGTGAAGGAGCGCCCCCCAACAGCAGCCCCGGGTGTACCTGGGGGCAAGGTGGGCGCAAGGCGCTGGGGCAGGCGCGTGCTCGGGGTCGGTGATGCGCATGAAGGGGCGGTGGAAGTAGTGTAGCTGCAGGATGCAGGCCAGCAGGAAGAAGCCGGGGATGAGGATGCTGGAGAAGAGCGCGGACACGCTGAACTGCTCCAGGCCCAGGTCCCTCAGCCTGGCGGGAGAGAAGGGCAGTGGTTCAAGCCCTGGCCCCGTTAGCCCAGGCTCGCCCCGAGGCTGCTAGTCCCACGAGACCAGCGTGGATGGGGCTGCCCCGTGGCTTTGAGCCATGATCTCCACGTGCATTCCCCCTTCTCCCCGAGCAGGGATATGGACCCGCCCCGGACCCCTGGTTCTTCCCCCGGCTCTGCCCCACACTCCACTGGGCAAGTCTCCGTGGGGGGGAGAGGTGCCCAGGACAGGGGCTGGCGTCACTCACTGCCCGTCGGTGAGGCTGGTGAGGTTGCGCCAGTAGGCGGGGAAGTCCTGGAACTGGTAAGTGTAGACGGCGATGAGCACCAGCATGGTGTAGGCCACCACCAGCCACCAGAAACCCGTCAGCAGCTTCCGCCACAGGCTGTAGTACACCTGTGGGGCAAGAGCCATGAGCGCCCAGGGACAGGGCAGCCTGCCGCATCTGCGCCCCCAGCCCTGCCCTGCCCCAGAGCTGCTCTGGATCAACCCTGCCCAGGGAGGTCAGGGGGCCTGGGATGAGTGTCTGGCCCCCGTCCAGCCCCTGGCTGTGCCCCTGGGAGCCTGGGCATGGGGCAGGCACATGGACTTGTCTTGCAAAGGGGGCCCCAGCACCTACCCCTGCTTCAGGGCAGTGCCCCACGGCACTAGCCTGAAGGCAAATGCTAAGAGCCCCTGCTAGCACCCAGGGCTTGCCCATCACAGTGCCCCCACATAGCACCCAGGTCATGCCCAGTTCAGTGACCCCTGCTAGCACCGAGGGCGTGCCCAGCTCCATGCCCCCCCGCCCCACTAGCACCCAGGGTATGCCCAGCTCCGCATCCCCTTGCTAGCACCCAGGTCATACCCAGCACAGTACCCCCCTGCTAGCACCCAGGGCATGCCCAGCTCTGTATCCCTCTGCTAGCACCCAGGTCATACCCAGCACAGTACCCCCCTGCTAGCACCCAGGGCATACCCAGCTCCACGTCCCCCTCCTAGTACCCGGGGCATGCCCAGCTCCGTGCTCCCACCCCGCGCACCTGGAAGAGGGTGAGGCAGAGGAGGAAGAGGAACATGTAGACGATCTTGTAGACGACAAGGCGCCCGGCGAAGCTGACCACGATGAACATGCCGGCGCACACCAGGATCCAGTACTTGGCGTAGAATGCCGTCACCAGCCCGCCCAGCGCCCGCAGCACCCGCGGTCGCCCACTCGCCTCTGCAAGGCACCGCCGCTCAGAGCTGGGGCCAAGGGGGCACCGTCTCCACCGCAGCCAGTGCCCAAAACTTCCTGCCCTTCTTACCGCGGCACCTAACCCTCAAGCAGCAGCGGGGGGGAGCAATGGGCAAGGTGCCAGAAGCCCCCCGCCCCTGCAGAGAGGGTCTTGGCCCGCCCACCCCACCCCCCAGGGCACTCGCACTCGGTGCTGGGCTCTCCTGGGGTGCTCTGGCTGCTTCTGGGGGATGCCACAGCCTAGCCCTTAATGGCCCACAGCAGCTCCCAGCCCAGAAGCAGGCTGCAGGGACCACCCCCACCCCCGCCCCATGCCGCGGAAATACCGAGTGTGCCTGGCCAGCCCCGTGCCCCTCACCTGTGTCAGTGACGGTCACCTCGAGCAGGGGGGCAGGCGGGCGTCTCCGCTTCAGCAGCTTCTCCTTGACGGACTGGCGCAGCAGCAGCCAGAAGGTCAGGGTGTAGAGGACCTGCGGGGACAACATGGGTCAGGCCAGGCACCGGCTGGGCATAGAGATGCCCAGGGGGACAGGCAGGTGGTGGGGAAGGGCTCACCTTGGCTCCCAGGTCCAGGCAGGGGTAGGGGGTGCGCGCCAGCCCCAGCTGCTCCAGGCTCATGGAGCCGAGGCGGGTGGGCAGCTCTGGCGCCAGGTCCATGCCCCAGACGTACTGCAGGCCGCAGAGGGCAAGGCCGTAGAGCAGGATGAAGGGCGAGCACAGCATGGCAAAGTGGTGCCGGCTCCGCATGGTCCAGATGAGGCAGGCCCACAGCAGCAGGACGAAGGTCAGCCAGCTGTGGTACGTGATGCTCCACACCTGGAGGGCACCAAGACGGGCACGTGGCAGCACCTGCCGGCCCAGGCTCCCACCCAGGGTGCATGAGTCTGCCCCCCGGCTCTTACCATCATGGCAATGAGGGCGCAGACGTAGCTCTGTTTCAGGACCATGTGGCCCAGGGCTTGCAGGGGGTCCTTGCGCCGTGCCCGCTTCTTCCTGGCTGCAGAGAGCGTGGCAGAGATAGTCGGAGCTGCCCCCGGGCTACCCACTGCCCTTCCCCACCCTGTCTCCCCTCCGGCTCACCCCGCAGGGGCTCCCCAGGGTCCCACCAGCCCCCACCAAGGAGGCGGATGGAGATGGTGAGCTCTGGACCCAGCTGCAGGGTCTGAATTGCACATGGCTATGGGGGCATGAGGCCTCCCACCCCCAGCATCCTTCCACCATCAGCCCTTGCACGGACCCAGCGACTTGGGCCTGGGAAAGCAGCGGGTGCAAAATGGGGAAGGGGCAGGGGTCCAAGCAGGACAGTCCTCCCCCTCCTGCCCTGCACCCCAGAACCAGGGGGTGCCCCCCACCCCCCCAGAGACCTAGCCTGCAATGCCAGGCTGCAGCCACTAGGGGGCAGCGTGGCTTCACCCCACCGCAACCCTCGACCACCCCTTGCCCCACCCCATGGCTTACCCAGCGGGGAAGGGTCCTCCAGGATGTGCACTGTGCAGTTATCAGGGCTGGCGGCGGGGGCCTCGGCACCAGGCGACAGCATGGGCTGGGGGGCAGAGGAGTGTGAGCCGCGGGCGCTGCACACCCACTCACCCCTGTTAGATCCTGGGGGGGTCTGCACTACCGGCCCTACAGCCCCTGTGGGCACTAATTCCCGAGGGCACATCCCCTTTCCCCCACCGGGATACCAGGACCCTGTCCCCTGCCCCGGTGGCTCCGCTCCTGACCTTGGTGTCCTCAGGGAGGCTGTCCCCAGCCTGGGGCCAGTGCTCCAGCTCCACCAGCTCTTCATGCTGGGGCGGCATGGCCCGTGTGTCTGTCTCTGTGCTCGTGAGTCTCTGGGTTGGGGGAGAGCCAACCTCAGTGCCAGGTGCCAGGGCCACAGGCACCAGGTCATTGCAGCACAGAGTATCTGCTGCCCTGGGGCAGGCAGGGAGAGAAGGGGCAGGGGATGGGGAGGGGAAAGGCAGGGCTAGCCAGGAGCTGCTCACCCGGCGGCGGGCTTCCAGCCACCTGAGCTTCAGCAGGGTGACCACAGTGAAGTAGAGCAGCAGCAGGACGCCAGGGTTCACGTAGACGGGCCAGCGATGGCTGGTGTTGAGGACCAGGGCATTGGGGCTGCTGCAGTTGGTGGCTAAGATGATGTCCTTCAGCCCAAAGACTCTGCATGGGGGAGAGGATGGTGTGATAGCCCCTGGCGGGGGTCCCGCTGCTGCTCCCACCACCCCGTGCAGCTAGCGCAGCTCCTGGGTTGCACTGGGTAGTGCCACCCACACCCCATCCTGCACCCTGCAAAGGGGCTCTGAAAGCCAGGGATCCTGCTGCACCATGATTACAAGCTGCCTAGGGACCTGGGTGCTGGGAAGGGCACGCGGCACCTGGAAACAGCCCTGCACCCAGCAGGGAAGGGGCACCGTGGCCCAGCCGCCACGCCCCCAGGGCCTTTCCCTGGGGAACAGAAGCAGAGGCAAAGCCACAGCTCACCCAGCAGGGATGAGACAAAAGAGCCGCAGCCACAAGGCGCAGCCCAGGTCCGGCTTTGATCCCTGCTCTGAAAGGGCAGGGTGGCACCATGCACCCATGGGTCCAGCCCAGCCCCGCGGCCGCTCCCCTGGGACCTCATCCAGGAAACACGACCCACGTGGGAGCCCGGAGCTGGTGAAAGGGGGTTGAGCCCAGTTCCTAATGGCACGGTGCCCTGGCATGGGGAAAGCCAGCGCACCTGGGCAACCTCCAGCCACCTGTCCCCATTGGGGAGACAGCAAGGGGCCAGCTGGATGGCAGTGGGAGGGAGGGAGAAGCTGCCGGCTTACCGTGCCCAGATGCTGGTGGGAGGTAAGAAGGCCTGGACGTACGGTGCCTGGTAGCTGTAGAGGCAGAGGAGGTGGCCGGCAGCGTAGACACCCACCATGATGCAGAGGGTGTTGAAGCCCAGGTGGCTGAGGCGGAAGTGGCAGGCCCACCACGTGCACATGCCCACGAACAGCAGGTAGTAGACGCTGGAGAAGGCCGACGGCAGCGTGATGCCTGTGGGGTCAGGGCCGTTACCCCGAGGGGCTGGCGACGGCTCCGGGGATGAGCCCCCCTTAGCTCAGCAAAGGGGCTGCCATGACCCTGGGCTGAGACCCCCCGCACTCCTCTCACCTGCCAGAGCCAGCAGCAGCAGCGCCAGCCCCTTGCCGGCCGCCCGCAGCAGCCAGTGCACCTTCACCCGCAGTTTGGCGGCCAGGGGCGTCGTCTCCGTCTCTGCATCCTCATCGCCCGGCTTCTCAGCACCTTCATCCTCCTCCTCCTGCGGGCATCCAGGGCAAGGTGAGGGCTCCCTTGCCCGTGCTACAGCCCCAGGACTGGGCACAGTGGAGACCTACCGTCCTGAAGGGCGCCAGGGCTTGCATGGGCATTGCCACCCTGGAAGCCACATCCCGTGGCTTGCCATGCTGCCTGGTGGCTATCTGGGAGCCGGGGCCTGGACACCTGGGTTCTGTCCCCACAGATTTTCTGGCTGTGCCTCAGTGTCCCCCTCTCCAGCCCTTGGGAAGGGCTTGGAGACCTTTGGGGGGCCCACGAGGGACAAGGCAAGTCGGCCATGGGCAGGATGATACCACAAAGGGCGCTGGGCCGGTGCACAGGACAGTTCAGGCTGACGCCACTGCAAGCAGCCAGGTAATCAGATCCAGGGATCTAGCGCTGCAGGGACGTGAGCGCAGGGGCCGGCCCCGTTCCAGCCAGGACACACTGACACACGATCCCCTGGCTCCCCGGAAAGGCCATGTATGCAGGCCCTGGCGTGGAGGAGGAGAGGTCGCCCCGACAGGTGCAAAGGCCACGGGCACGGGGCAGGTGTGTGGGGACAAGGGGGTCACTCGAGTCTGGGCCCAGCACCCCACAGAGCAGCCCCTCGGCCAACGTGCCACATACCCCTGGACCACTGCTGCGGCTGTGGCATGGGGGACATGGCCCCACTGCCTGGAGGCCAACCTGACCTGAGATGCAGGGAGGTGGAGACGGGTGACAGGCTCAGTGCTGCCAGCCTCCCGGGAAAGGCACTGGTACTCCCCAGCTGGCAGCACGGGAGAGACCTGGACACGCCGTGGCCTTGGCCATGGAGAGCGAGCAGCTTGAGGTCTGCACCCCCCACAGCCAGCCCAGCCCTTGCTGGAGGTGCCAGGAACCATGCCCCCTCCATGCCAGCCCAGAGCCCAGCTGCCTGCACCTGCCCTTGTTCATCCCGACTGCCGGGAGAGCGCGTGCTGAAGAGCCGCTGGCCCTGCCTGGGTTCCCCGCCTGGGCTCTGCTCCGCCGTGCGGGTTCCCAACAAAGGCATGTGTGTCTGACCCGGCTCTGGTTACCGCCGGGCATGGGGCCCCAGGTTCGGCTCCAGCACGGAGGAGCACCGACTGCAAGGGGGACCCAGCTCCCATGGAGGAGCAGGGGGTGCAGCTGGGCACCCCATTGCAGAGCATGGCACCCCACCAACCTGGACAGGCCATTCCCACCCCTGCCATTCGGGCATGCAGGGATTGCTGTGCCTCTCCTCCAGGCACCCAGCCAGCACAGAGGCTGGGCCCTCGCTGGCACCAGCAACATCCAAGCCCTGGGGGCAGAGACCAGGGGAGCTCACAGGGCTGGTGGCACTGGGAAGGGAGCTTTCAGTAGCCAGAACAGAAATACCTGGGCACACCCCCTTAGCACAAAGCAGCGGCACTTTGATGGAGACACCTGTCCACTCCCCACCTCCACAGCAAACACCCGGGGCCTGGGAACAGCAGCCTGGGGCCGCTCTCATGCCACGAGAGATCCCAGCCCCCTGGCATCTGGCTGGCAGGGAGCTGGGAGGGTTGGGGGCTAGATGGGTCCTCCCCATGTATAGCACCCATGTGCCAAGGTGGCGGGGTGCAGCATGTGCCCCCTGTCCTGGGCCACCGAAGAAGGAAGGAATGAGCCCCTCGGTGCTCAGGGCCAAGCTGAGATGCTGCCCCACTGCCAGGGCAGTGCTCCCAGAGGGTGGGCACTGACTGCAGCCTGCAAAGTCTCACGCCCAGAGACACAGCCATGGAAGTGAGCTGGGGGTGCCAAGCCAGCCTGGGGGACCCCTGGCCCCAACATCCAGCCCAGTGGTCCCTGCAGGGGGTGAGAAGCCAGGGTGCCTGAGCTATGGCTGGAGAGACCGGAGCAAGAGAACAGCCCGAGCCCAGCGGTTGCAGCCCCCCACGGGAACAGGGAAGCTTTACGAAGGCTCCCCCATGCAGGGTGCTGACAGCGGGCTCTGGCCAGGCGGTGCAACCCTAGCTAGGGACAGCTGTGCCAGCTGCTGTGCTGGGCCGAGGCTCCCACGCCTCGGTGCCAACAGGAGACAAAGGCTGCAGACCGTGGGCGTCTTGTCGACCTGGGAATGTCCAGTCGTGGGGGGAAGCACCTGCTGCACAACCGGCCTAATCCCAGAGTAGCCCAGGGGGCAGGGAGGGCACGGGGCCAGGAGGCTGCCCGGGGAGCAGGGAGGCAGGGCATCTCAGTACCAGGCAGGGCTGGAGCCGCAACAAGTCCTCTGGGCCTCTCCCACCCTATCCCTTGCCGTGCCCGGCTGGCGAAGCTGGAACGGGCCCAAGTCATGCTGGAAGGGCTCTGCGAGGAGCCAGCACCTTCTCCCCTGGCTGGGCACCCCCAAGACCCCTCCCCAATGCCGGATGGGTCCAGCTGCAGCTCCGGGGGCAGCAGGGTTAATGCTCCCGCTGGCCGGGGGGAGGCCAAGGTGCGGAGCCCCCCCAGCGCGGCTGTCCCTGCCAGCACATTCTGTTCTCAGCACAGCTCACGGCCGGGTCTCCAGCCCCCCCGGCTCAGCCAGCCCCATAATGCCAGGGCCCCCAGAAGAGCTGAGCCCCAGTGCAGGCAGGCAAGCACTTCTGTATGCTTTGCCCCCATCCCCATGCACAGCACCGGCTCCTCCACCTCCCACCTGGTGAGCCCCGGGCTGCGGGGAATTGCACAGCCCTTGGCCCTGGGAGAAGCACCCTGCTGCCCGCAGACAGCCTGGTTTTCCAGGATCACCGCCGGGGTGCGGCGCCAGCTCAGACGCATCCTGGCACTGCCCAGGTTGCTCCCAGGCAGGGCTAACGAGGAGAATGTAGCCCCCTTGGAGGTCTGGGGGGTCCAGGGAGGCCTGGCTGCTCCGCACCTCAGCTCCCGTCACAGGGGAAGGGACAGCAAGGCATGCAAAGCCCACAACGGGGCATGCTGATCTGCACATGGGTCGGGCACAGCTGTGCACAGCTGTGCTGCGCTCTGGGGCCAGGCAGGGAACCCATGCACACGGCCCCTGCATGCCCGGCAGGGACAACTTGGCAGGACCAGCCAAGGGGCTGCAATGGCCAAGGAGCTGCCCAGCCCCAGGGCTCGTGGGCTCCAGAGGCTGCCCGGCGCAGTGCCCAGGGCTCGCCCCGGCCCCACATAATGGGACTCTGTTCCTCGCCTGTTTGCAAGGAGTCCCTATGGCAACCGCGGGGAAACAGGGGCACCGTTCCACCCGCAGCGTGACTCACCTTGGCTCCTACAAGACGGGTGAAGCCGGGGCCAGGCCCTGGCCCAGCCCCCAGTTGCAGCCCCCTGTCCTAGGGCAGCGTGGCCCGGCTCTGAGCCTGGGGCAGGCACCGGTGCAGCCCTAGCAGGACCCTTCCCGAGGCCGGGGCAGGCCAGGGGAATATGGTATGGGCAGGCTCTCCAGGCCGCAGAGACTCACCTGCTCCAGGGGCTCGAGGGATGCCGGCCTACGGACACGGGTGCCCGCCCCATTGAGGGGCCTAAGGCGGCGACACAGACCCAGGCAGATGGCGGAGACCAGCAGGATGCCCACGTCGGGGGCCACCAGGCGCACCGAGTTGGGGATGTCGCCGAGCTCCAGCCTGCGGGGGAGGGTGGGAAGGGGGTGAGATGCCAGTTTGCCTGTCGCAGGACACCTGTCTACACTGCTCCCCAAAGCACTGGTGCAATGCACACCCCATGCCAGGGATGAAGCCATAAGGACAAGGCCATGGACATGTCCGTGTTCCCCATGGGCACAGGGCAGGGGCTTCCAGGGGAGCTCCCAGCTGGGTGCCAGCGCCCAAAGAAGGCATGGCCCAGTATGTGCCACCCTCCTGGAGCTATTCAAGAAGCCTCTGTCCCAGTGGGCCCCAGACCAAGCCCTGACCCCAGAGCATCCCCTCCCCTAGGCTGCAGGCACCCACCCCAACCCCCTGAGCAGACGGCCCCTCACCTGGTGACCCCGACATGCCGGGACAGCGTCTCCCACGTGCTGCCTGCAAGGAAGAAAACAGAGACCAGGTCAGAGGGAGGGTGCAGGGGCAGGGTGCTGCCCAGCCGGGCAGGCAGGGGCAGGGCAGAGCCAGGTCACATCACTCCTGGCACACTTGCCCGTGTGCCCAAGAGAGGCCAAGCCCCGAGGGGCAAAAGTCCCCTCCAGGCAGAAAGGGATGCGCCCATCACGGGGCCCTTAGCCAGCCTTGGCCCTGCACTCCCCAAGGGCAGCTCTCGCCTGCCTGGGGGCTGTCAGCTGGGGGGCCAGCACTGGAAACCCCATCCTGATGGATGGCCTGGCCCACCGAGCAGGTGCCCCCCGCAATGTGGGATGTGGAGGCAGCGCCAGGGCATGCTGACGGGGCTGTGATTGCACCCGGCAGCTGGGGGCTCTCGTCTGCCTGAGCCTGGCCCCGCTCCCACCCATGCTAGTGGGGAGGCTGCGTTGCAACGGCAGCAGAGAGGCCCTGATTGAGGGGTACAGGCTTCTGCCATCTCCCTGCCTGGGTCTTCCCGTTCTCCTCCATTAAAAGACCCCCCAAGCTGGGGACATCAGGGCAAAGAGAAGCAGGGCTCCTCCACCAGCAGCTGCGGGGCAAGGGGGCTGGCACTGGGCACAGGAGCCGGCCCTGCTGGCTTTGCCCCAGGGGTTTGCAGCAGCCAGGCTGCTCCAGCCCAGGCGCGGGGGAGCGGTGTAAGCCAGGCCTGGCGTTACATCAGGGAAATGTTTCCTCCAGCTCTGGCTCCACGGCAAGATGGAGAACGGGCAGCCCCTTGCAGACCGCCCCTTCCCCATGAAAACACGGACGGTGGGCCAGGAGAGTGCAGGGCAAGCAGGGCAGGAGCAGGCCCCCATCCCACCTGGGCTCCCCCACCCCGGCCAGCAAGAGAGTGGTGCATCTGGGGGGCATTTCCTAGGAAGGCAGAGAGCAGCAGAGACCAGGGGCATGGAGCCGAGGGGAAGTGACCCAGCGGCTGCTACCAACACCTGTATCCCCTCCGCACGGGCAGAGGGGGCTGAAGAAACGGGCGGGGGCGATGGACCCCAGGCTCTGACATACTTGTGGATATGATCGTGATGTCACGGAGGGACTCTGATGACCTCATGGCAGAGGCCAGCTAGCAGTGACTGCGTCTCGGGTGGCAGCAAGGGCAGGAGGGGAGCGGGGACCAGGCTGGAGCTGGGCCTGGCACGAGGGGGTGGCACTCTGGGCTGCCAAACCAGGGGGTGCCCCCGCCATACTCACAGTTGTGTCCCAGCAGCTGGCCCAAGCCGGGCACTGTGTAGAGGCATATCTGGAAGACCAGGTGGGCGAGGAGGAAGAGGATGCTGGTGCCTAGGAGAGCTCGCAGGAGGCGCCCGGTGTGACCTAGGAGACAAACCATCCTCTTTGCTGCCTTCACCCTTGTCCACTACACGGGCCCTTCACGGCAGGCAGAGAGAGTGGCATGGGTGGGGGGGTTGCAGCTCATCCCAGGCTCCAATTATCCCAGCACTCAAGGAGCTGCTCAAGCCCTGAGCAGTGGAGCTGGTGAAGTCCATGCTCCCAGCAACAGGCAGTTCACCGCAGCAGCTGAGCCAGCCCTGGGGTGAGATCCCAGCCTCCAGACACCTACTATCCCGCAGGCACCATGTGTCTGGCCAGCACCCCCAGCACATGGGGAAGTGCCCGCAGCCTGCCAGGCAGCCCCTCCATGCCATGAAGGGCTCCACTGTCCCACCTCCAGTGGCCTTCGACAGGGAGCGCAGCCCCAATTAGCCACAGCCCTGCTGCAGTCTGGTTAGAACGTGCACCACACACGCACACGCGTGCCCCCACATGCTTGCCCATGCACACACAGATGCATACATGCAAGGACACGTGTATGCACATACACACTGGTGCGCACATACATGTGCATGAATACATGCATACACATACACGGGTTCACACACACATGGGTGCACACATACACTTGCATGGACCCATGTATATATGCACACACACAGGTGCATGGATTCATGTGTGTACACACACAGGTGCACACACATACACAGACCCATGTATGTACAGTCCACATGGGTGAACACAAACACATGCATGGACCCATGTACGCACACAGCCACAGGTGCACCCATATGCACATGGACCCATGCATGTACACACATGCACACAAACACATCCATGCACACGCACACACACGCGGCAACTTGAAAAGGCAAACCTGCGGGGGTTGATTTGCAAATGATTTGCACATGTAACGCTGGACCCGCACACCCTAGAGCCACAGCCAAAGCAGGCGCTGGAAGCAGAGGAGGCACGTGCCCCTGCCCAGCCGCGGCAGCCCCCAGGAGCTCTGGGCAGCAGGCCGAGGGCCTCCACATGTACGCACACGTATGTATGCATGTATGCGCACACCCAGATGCCTGGAAACAAGAGGGCAATGGGCTGCGAGGAGCAGAGCCTCACAGTACCCCAGCAATGCAGAGAAGGACTGCAACCCCGCCTTCTCACCCCTATTGACAGGGAAACTGAGGCACCGCACCATGCAAGGAGTCCAGGCCTGCCTGGGAGGCCTGGCTGGCCCCCCAGCTCCTGAGGAAGCTGCAGCAGGACCCAGCCTCCCTGCTCGGGGCCTGACCCCGCGCCCGCCCCCCTCCCGCAGCCCACACAAATGAAACCCAGCTGGGCTCCCGCGGCCTGCCAGCGCGGACAGCCCCGCGGTCCAGCCCCGGGCCGAGCCAGCGTGGAATTTTCCAGGCGTGAGCTGCCAGGTGAGGCCACCGCTGACGAATCCCCCCGCGGCCGCCCCCGTCAGACCTTCCACCAGCTGCGCAGCCCCCCGCGCTCGCCGCCGCGGCGCAGCCCACACAAATGAAACCCAGCTGGGCTCCCGCGGCCTGCCAGCGCGGACAGCCCCGCGGTCCAGCCCCGGGCCGAGCCAGCGTGGAATTTTCCAGGCGTGAGCTGCCAGGTGAGGCCACCGCTGACGAATCCCCCCGCGGCCGCCCCCGTCAGACCTTCCACCAGCTGCGCAGCCCCCCGCGCTCGCCGCCGCGGCTCCTCGTGCCAAGGATGCTACGGGCGGAGAGCTCACACTTTCCTTCTTCCCCGTTTTCCTGGAAGCCACAGTGCAGCAGGAGCCCGCTGCGCTGGCACATGAAATATTCAAGGGAGCTTTGAGTAGCCGCCAGCTCCCGGGCTACAGCTTGTCCTGGCTGCAGCAGGCCATGGGCCCCAATCCTGCATGCTGGTGGGAGCACGTTAACACCCCAATGCATCCCCTGCAGGGACCCTCGCCCAAGAGCTCCCCTGCACCAGCAGCAGACAGCAGCAACAGCGAAGCCCATGGGGCTGGTCCCAAATGCCCCACGCAGAGGTCCCGGAGAAGGACAGTGGGGCACCGCACAGCAGAGCCCAGCCTGGCCCCGTGGCCACGGCCCCGCTCTGAGGTTTCCGGCTAATGTGCCTGGGGTTTGGAAGCCGCCATTTCCAAGTGAGGAGCCTATTAATAGATGGGCCGGGCTATAATTAACAGCGGTCCAGCCGCCAGCGAGCCACCGCGCGCCGAGACCCGCGAGCGGCTCAGCCCAGGAGAAACCGCAGAGGAAGGAGCCAGGCACCGCGATCGGACGGCACGCAGCCCCCTCGGCCTAAAAATACCCCCATGAACCCGGCGCCCAGCGTGAGGGCAGCCTGGGCTGGGATCCAGAGGCAGAGGGGGCCCAGCTCGGGACACTGGAGGGCATCAGCCCTGTCCCCAGGCACCAGGATCCATGCTGCCACCCAGCCAGGGCAGCTGAGATACCAGCTCTGGGCTGGACCCAGCCGGGGTGGGGGTGCTGTAGTGTAGACAGGGCTCAGGCACACCTCCTGGCCTGGCCCCTGCAGCTGGGGAATGGGGCCCCTGAGCTTTGCCATGCACGGATATAGCCCTCGTGAAGGTCTGCGTGTCTGAGCCCCACCTCTACGATGGCCAGGGCTTGCCACAGAAATGCTACTAGCCCTGTCCCCCGCCCCGGCTGCCTGGCTCCACTTGTGCTGGACTCACAGAAATCAGAGCCGGGACGGGGACCTGTGCTGCGTCACGTCAGCTCGTTCAGGGGCCAGGGCTGCTCCCTGCCAGCCTCTCTGCAAGGGGAGACTGTTCCCAGGCCTGCTGGAGCCCCAAGGACCCCGTTCCTCCCCCCGATCCCTGCCGTGGGCTCACAGGAGAAGGCAGGCGAGCTCCGGGAAAGGATGTGCCCACTGAGCACCAGTCCAGAGCCTGGAACAGTTCCCGGCTGTGTCAGCAGAAAGGCAGAGGTGAGACGCCCAGCCTGGGATCGGTCACACGAACCGTTGCAGCTGCTGTGCTATGTGTCAAAGCCCCTGCACTGCTGGCAGGGATGGGGGAGTCTCTCTGGGCTTAGCAGAAGGGGTCTGGGCTGCACCTGGGGTTGTAGGGCACACCTGGCTGCATGCAGGTGATGGAGGGGGGTGCTGAGGAGCACAACCCAGGTCTTTCTGGGCTAGAACCCAGGGCCAGGCCTGTGCCTAACCACTGGTCCCCACTGCTCTCATGGGGACTTCAACTGGTCTGCAGCTCACCCCAGACAGGGTGTGCCCCCTGCAGCCCTGCACCAGGCTGGGCTCAGCTCAGGGAATAGCATTCGCCCTGGGCATAGAAAGGGAGCAATGCCGGGCATGTATGCGTCTGGGCAAGGGGCACCTGCTGCAGTCAGGATGCACGGACAGACGGATGGACGGGCCCCGCGCAGGCCTTACCTCGGATGGTGCGCTCAGTGGGTCCCTGGAACCAGGGCAGGAGCAGCAGGTAGAGCAGGTAGACGAGGGACAGGGCGTTGACCCGGAAGAGGCAGGCTGCGGAGAGAGACCAGGGTGAGTTAGCTGGGGGCGCACGGTGCTGCCCGTGCACACACACCCCCTCGATGGACGGTGGGGCTCAGCGAGCATGGGAGGGGGCAATTTCCTGATGCCGCCCCTGCCATCCCCTGATGCCAGGCAGAGGCGGGGCAGTCCCCCTGTGTGCCATAGCCCCTGTACTACAAGCACAGACTCGCCCCAACCTGCTAAGAGGGGAAGCAGCTTGCCCAAAGCCATGGAGGGGGATGAGGGCAGGGCTGAGAACGGGACCTGGTGGAGCCGTCTGCACCGTGGAGCTCAAGAGACCGCATGATGCAGCCATGCTGGAGGCGTGGGGCTGCTACACCCCGGTGCCGGCGCTGGCCAGGCACGCCGGGGCACAGCCCTAGGGGCAAGGTCATGGAGTGGCTGGACCGGGGCTGGGGGAGAGAACAGAGCCAGCCCCAGACCCACAGGGAGAAAGGTGCCACAGGGTATCTAGCGGGGGAAAAGCCATCCTGGGACAGTGCCCGGGCCCGTCACAAAGCAGCTGTGCCTAACAGCTGTGCTGGCCTGCGGCCAGGCCTGGCTCCTGCTTTGGGAACTGTCCTGTGCCACCAGCTCCTAGCAGTGCCAGGGCCCACGCGCTCCGCAGGAGTGCCCGCCTGGCTTCCCTGCCCACAGCCCCAGGCCTCCTGCCTCTGTGCTGCACGGACACCTGGACGGAGAGAGGGGAGATGGATGGACAGAGACACAAATGCAGGGCAGGGCAGGGAGTAGCTAGACCCATTCAACAAGGGAAGACCCCAGCGACCAACCCCACTGCCTGGATTGTCCAGTGCAACTCTGTCTCCCACCGTGCCTGGCATGCCAGGAATGAGCATGCCAGACCCGTGCCAGGCGGGTTTCACTTCCCTGCCTGCAACAGCTGCTGCAGAGAGACCACGAGGAGGGTCCACGGGAGCGAGAAAGCAGGAGAATTTTGCAATCTCAGTTCTGAGAAACGCCCGAGGCGCCCAGCTTGACCCCTTGCCTGCCAGGGTTTCCTCCTCTGACCAGTCAACGGGCACCCGGGGCAGGAAAAGACACAGGGCAGCCAGCTGCGATAATTCCCCGTGCCCCTGCAAAGCCAGGGCAATGCCCCTGGCCTGTCCCTACCCTGCCCAACACGGGGTCCTTCCCAACAGGGTCCCCAGCATCGACCTGGTGCAGCAGAGGGGCAGGGAGGTTGCTTGCCTCAGGACTTCGGCTTATTTTTAGCAAAGGCCAGGGCAACGTGAGCATGGGTTTGTCTCTCCATCCCCCTTGCTGTTTACCAGGCCAGCCAGTTGCTGGCTCAAGGGCAGGGCTGCCGCACCGACACCCCCGCACGTGCCAGCGCTAATTGGGGCAACCACGACAGCAGCCCGGAGCAGCACCGCCGGTTCGACCTGCTGCAAGCGATGCCGGGCCCAGGACACCAGGCGTGTCCAGCTTCCTGCAGGGACATGCCCATGCACGCACACGGAGTGGCGGACCTGCTTTCTCCAGGGGAGGGAGGGACACGGGAGCCAGCGGCTGACCCGGAAATGCCGGGAACCAGCTCCAACTGGGACAAAGCATCCCAGGCCCGGAGCAGGGCGGAGAAAACATACACCAACAGGGCCCCACCCAGCGCCACGCGTGCCATGCTGGGGCGGGGGAGGGAATCGAGGCTCCAGGAGGGGGGCACAGAGGACATGCCAACAGCAGGGCAGGTAGCAAGCAGCAGGCTCAGAGAGGTGGGCATGAAGGGTGGACCTCCAGTGCCCGCCGGGGATGGCATCCAGCATCCAGCATCCAGCTCCCCACCTGTCCTGGGCCCAATCCTGATCCCCAGACCAGGTGGGGGCACACAGGGGTGCTCGGTATCCAGCCTCTCCCCTATAAAGCCTCAGGGTGGCACGTGCCACCCCCTCCTGCACTGTCGTCGGGCTGGGAGCATGAGCTAGGGGCTGGCTCAGGCACCCCCCGGGCGCCGGCCACCCCGAAGGGGGTTGGGTGGGGTTGTCCGTGGGGTGGGGAGGGCCGGCAGCGTCTGGCTCTCCCCGGCAGCACGAACTCCCTGACTGCATGACTGATGCAAGGCATGAGCTCATGGAGCAAATATGCCTGCCCCAGTGCCAGCAGCGCTGCGGAGGGGAGAGCCCTTCCCTGATGCTGCAAGCAGCTCCGGCTCATGCACACACCCCCGCCTCCTCCCACAGATTGGGCACGGCCTCGGCACCCCCACATCCCGGAGCCAGGCAGCCACGGTGTTCTCCTCCGCCCGCAGGGACAAGTCTGTCCCAGAGCAAGCTCCCTCATCACTCCCCAGAGGTGGCTGCATTTTGGAGAGGAGGTGACCGGGCTGCTCCAGGCTCTCAAACACGCAGGGCATGCTAGTCCCAGTTTGCAAAGCTCTGGAGGGGGATAAATGCATTGCAGCTGGGGGGGGGGACACAGAACTAGTCTGCAATCCCTGCCCCCTCCTAGGACAATGCCGGCTCCGGACAGGATGTGGCTCAATCCAGGACATCCCGGGGCAGGGCAGCACAAGCCTGGCTGGCAAAGGGGAGGCTTCGTGCACAGTCCCAGGGCTTTTAGCAGAGCCAAGAGCAGCTCCCACCCCCTCTTGCTAGCAGCTAGGAGGGATACCGAGAGCCCCTGCCCCCAGGACCGAGCAGCCGAGGCAGTGACCCCTGCCCTGCGCAGGCCCTGGAGGATGTTTATAAAGCGGCCGCGGGGAGTCGAGCCAGCTGGACCCCGGCCAGGCTCATGCCGCCCACCCGCAGCTGAGAGCCCAGTGGGGTGGGCGGGGGGGGGACACAGCACCAGCCACACTCGGGCACCCAGGCCTGCGAGGAAATGCATGCCACGGAGCAAGAGGGGCGTCGCAGGGCAGGGGCTTGGGTGAGTCTAGACCAGGTGCCGGAGGTGAGAAGGGCCAGTGAGATGGGGACAAACCAAGGCTTTGGGCAGCCAGAGGCAATGCCATTGCCCTGCAAAGCTGCAGCTGCTCTGAGCAAGCCAGAGGTGCCTGGCGGGGAGGGGAGGGGAAGCAGAGCCCCATCCGTGGGTATCCTCCAGGCAGCACTGTATGGCACCATGGAGGCCAGGAGGGCCCCTGCCTCTTCCTGTGCTCAAGACACCCGGCACGAAGGACCACGGGCTTGTCTCTGCCCGGTCTCTCCCTCCAGCAAGACAGCCCGCCCTGCCATAGCCCAGAGCGGGACCGGACACCCAGCAAAGGGGTGTCAGACCCCAGCCCACAGCCCCCGCGGTGCCACCCTGTGCTGGATGCTGGCGCCAGTCGAGAACAGGTCACGAATGCGGGGCCAGCCGGGTGGCTGGGCCACGGGCCGCGTGCCAGGCTCTTGCACAGTCCTGCGATTGAACTCCAGAACAAGCTGCGTCACGGGGCATCACATGGGCCGGCCGGCTGGGCCGGGAGGGGGATGCTGCATTGTCAGAAGTGGCGCTGGGAACCGGCCGAACAAGTTATGGAGCCAGGAGCCTCCAGTGCCTTGAGAAATGGCCCTGGGGGTGGAGCAGGGAGGGGAAGGGGGGTCAGCATTTCTCACTGGCTCCAGATCCAGCCTGGCCCCAGCTGCGAGGGGACAACGGCAAACCTTTGGCTGCCCCCAGGACCCATGCTCCAGCAGACAGCCACGAGCAGGCATTACATCCCCCTTACCCCCTTGCAACCAGCCCAGCAAGGAGCAAAGTCCTGCTGGTCACAGTGCCGAGCCCCCACATGGGTGCCGCAGGCTCGGGCAGGTGATGGCCGCACTGATGGTGCAGAGAGCGGGGTCAGGCACAGCGCGGGGCTGCATCCTGGCACGGGGCCCAGCCGTGCCCAGTAAGGGAGCCTGGGGCTGTGGCCTCCTCTCACTTGGCCCCGGGGGATTTGGGAGAACGGCGGGGACTGGAGACATCCAGCTTAACCTGCTGCGGCGGCGCCGAGACGGTGACGAGAGTCCAGGCAGCCCCAGCTGCACCCGGGGGCCAGCCTCACCTCGGGGTGGGGGCACTGGCTAGGCTCTTGGCCCCGTGTTGAGGATGGCCGGTCAGCCCTCGCAGCAGCTACCCTGCCAGGACGGTGTCAGCCCTTTCCTGGCAGACAAGGTTCTTTGGGTGAATCTGATAGCTTTTATTAGACCAACTTAAATAGCTGGAAAAATTTTTAAGCGAGCTTTCCGGACATAGGCAGACAAAGAACCTTGTCTGCCTATGTCCTTGCACCAACACGGCTGCAACCTGCACCCTCAGCCTTTTGCTGACCTTGCAGGTAACTAGCGGAGCGGCCGGAGCCGGTCAGCAATGTCGCCCCCACTCACAGCCCAGGTAGAGGTCGGACCCCCTGGGTACTGCTCACCCCTGGGGCTGCGTGTGCATGGGGACACCCGGAGAAGGCACCCCAGGTCGGGTACGGGAGGGCAGCCAGGCCTGGACACCTCCAGGGACTGAAACCTGAACCGGGAACAGGGCTGGCAAGGCGATGGCATCAGTCACCGCCAGCAAGCTGCCCAGAGAGTAGTTCCCAGCTGGAGGCTGGGCTCCGTCCCCCGCTCCAAGAAGCCAGCCCCGCGCTCCGGGAAGGCGCCTGCAGCCGGGTCCAGGGCTCCTGACACCTCTCCTGCCATCTCCTGCATTAACAAGCAGCAGTTTTCATGCATGTATTTCCACAGATCCTCTCCCCCACTTGCCACGTCCTGGGCCTAGATCTGCTCCTGACCACTCCAGCTCCTCTTCCCAACTTGGCCTGGGTTTTCAAGGGAAGGATTCGCAAGACACGTGACATCTCTCCGGAGCCCACAGAGCTGCTTGCAATGCCCTTGCACCCAAGAGACGGATGCTGGCATGCTGGCTCACTGGAGCCAGCACATGCTGCAGCAGACACCACTCTCCCTGCCAGCCCCACGCCTCATGAGAGATGCCAGCTAACCGAAGGAGACGTCCTACACACGGAGAGTGGCGGAGCCGGGGTTTCCGTCGCCTGCTGAGTCACATCGAGAGGCTCGGCAGGGAGCGCAGGAAGCAGACAGCCGCTGCGAGAGGTTTCACAACCACAACAGGCTTTGGGTTGGTCTGAAGCGACCCAACTGCCCAGCCAGGGCTCCGGATGCTTATCTAGGGGACAGCCCTATCTACCGAACTAACCGGTCTCTGGCAGCATCCTGGCTCTCAGGGGGGTCTCCCCGCCGGGCGCTGGACTGGCAAGACCTTGCGTCGCTCACGGAGCCGACACCGCAGCAGCCAGAGGTGGTTCTCAACCCAGGCGGGGTGCCTGGGAGCACTTTCAAGCCGGGCTATGCCACGGCAGCACCGCTAGCGTGCAAACATGACTCCCACGACAAACCCGGAGATTTCCAACAGGAACCTGGGGTCTGTCCGAGTCCTTTGCACCACAAGAAACTGCTCTTGTGCTTTTCTGGAGGCAAAACAAAGAAAAGTGAGAACTAAGAGCTGGCACTTTCCAAGGGGTACTTTCTAGGGTGCCTCCTGCCTAAACAGGTTGAGAAGCACCAGCTAGCACCATGCCAGCAGCCGGAAGTCTGCAAAGGGGCTCATCCCTCCCTCTCAGGCAGGATGAGCTCCAGCAAGCAGGACCCAGCATCACTGCGAAGGGTTAATCCCTGGCTGGGGGCTGGCAGCCCCCAGGCGCTTGGATTCCTGAACGACTTTTCTGTGCAAAGTGAGGAATTGATTGAAGCTGGGCGCTGGCTCGGCCAGCCAGAATGCACCTCGCAAGCCTTCCCCGGGGCTGCTGCTGCGTGTTGGGGGTGGGGAGGAGTGGGGGACATCCCCGGTCCCATCAGCAGCTCCACGTGGCCGGACAGTCCCCGCCAGCATGCGGCTGGGCTGAGTCAGCTCGGAGAGGCGGCTGCTGCAAAGCGAAGCCGCAAGACACAAGTGCAGCTCCTCCCCTGGCATTGCCAAGAGGTCGCAACTCCCCGTGCTGGGTGCCACGTGCTGGCAGGGCAAGGAAGATTCGTCTCGGCGTGCCCCAGCCCCACGCTGGCCTCTGCTCTGGAGGCTTTGCATCGTGGCACAGCCACCCCTCTCAACCACAGCGTGCAAACCACGGCGCTGCAGGCTCCCAGCACAGCAACCCGCTCCCCAAAGGTGCCAGGCTGAGTTTCTAGGACCCAGACCAGGCTGTGCACGGGGCCACGTGCCCACGTACGTGTCCCCAGCACCTCCAATCCATGTCAGGCTGTGAGGCTGAGGCTGGGTGCAGTTAACCCAAGCCAGACACGTCTTGGCTTCACACGCGTTTGTGCGCAGACCGGCATCGGACAACAGAGACAAGCACAAGCCCGACTCACTCCAGCGGCTGCTCCCAGCCGTGGGCAGGAGGCAGCAGGAGTGCTTGGCACACCTGGCAGCCCACCCAGGGCCCTGCTGCTCACCTGTGAGTGCAGGGGCAGCTCAAAATGCCCATATCCCAGCCAGCCCCTCCCCATCTCAGAAGAAAACCCCTCTCGCCCAGCAGAGAAGGGACAAGCAGCATCCCTGGTTCCCGCACAGCCCCGTGCAGCCATGTCTGACCCGGTAGAGCTCAGCCCATAGGGCAGCACCCGGCATGAAGCCCAGACTGGCTGCCTGGAGAGCAATCGTGGGGCATCCCGAGAGGGCGGCGGGGGGGACCGTGTCCCCCAGCAGCGGATGGCCTGGGAGGCAGCACCTGCATTGGAGTGGGATGCATGGATGTGGTGGGATCCTGCTGACATCGGGCACGTGGGTGGGCAGGTGGCTCTACCCGGGACATGGGACACGGCGGCACTGGGCCTTCCCAGCCAACTCTGCCCTGGCAGCATGGTCAGGGTCACAGAGAAGCGGGGCTGGAAGGAGCATTGGCCCAGTCCCCATTGCCAGCCGGGGCTGCAGCCAAGACCCAGTGCCCCTGGAAGAGGCTTTAACAAAACCCTGATGCATGTAGCAGAGAAAGGAGGGGGGAGAGGGGTTCCTCCCAGCCCCACATGGCAGCCAGCAAAGCCCAGTAGCCTGGGAAATCCTCCCAGCAGAGCACAGAGGTCGCAGCACTAGCAGCATCGTCTCCCGAGGCACGAACCAGGGGAAGACAAGCACTCTCAGATGCACGAGGGATGTCCCTCCTGCATCATGTGGGGGGGAGCCCCGGCCAAACAGCAGACCGCAGCCCCCAGAGCCCCTCTGAGCTCTTGTTCCTGCGGCGCGGGCTGGGGCCCGGAGCGGTGCTGAAGCCACGTGGCTTGGCCTGGCTGGACACGTCCCGAATGGGGCAGGTGCTGCACTTGTGAGCGAGCATGAACGCACGAGGCAGGGACAGGATGGGACAGCCGTGCCCTGGCTGCTGCACGGGGTGGGAGCCCTGGCTGCAGCCACGAGCTGGCTTCTGCGGACACTTCCTCAGTGCCCAGAAAGTGCTTGACCCCTCGGACACCGAGGGCAACCAGAGAGCCCCATGGACAAGAGACGTCCTGGACTATTGAGCATGGGATAATGGGTTTCTCCGTGGAACAGACCGCAGCTCCTGTGGCACGAGCCCCAGGCCGAAGGAGTGAGGGTGGCGAGAGCCCTGGTGCCCAGAGATCACAAAGAAGTGGAGCTAGAAGAAAGTCCCGAAGTCACATTAGTGCAACCCCTGCCTGAGGCAGGATCAGCCCTGTCCAAACCACCCCAGACAAACCCATCATCTATGGGTGCACTGGCCGCAGGGGAGCGGGGCAGGCCACAGCCCTTGGTGGGCCAGAGGCCAGGGCACGCAGCAGAGACGCTCCCCCCGGACAGGCTGGGTCTCATCCCATGCAGCTGCTCCATCCAAAAGCCCATTCAATCCCCGGCAGGCTCCAGGCCCTGGACGCAGAGACCGGCTCCCTGGCGCGCCTGCTTCCCCCCTTCCAGGCACTCAACACCCCAGACGCCCCGAGAGCCGGAGCCGCGCTGGCAGCCGGAGCGTGCTGCAGTGACCGTGGTTCCGGGAGCACTCGCGCCAGCTGCCTCATTGATTAGTGCTGGAGCTGATGCAGTCGGCAGCTCCTCAGAGCCCTGCTCTAGCGGTAATTAACAGTGCTCGTTAACCAGGAGGGGTTTCCAGCACACCGGCTTGCAGGGGGGGGCAGTCCTCTGCAGGATGGGGGAGCTCCTTGCTAATAGGGTGCAGCCCCATACATCCAACCCCACTGAGCCCGTCCCTGGGGTCCTGGCGGCCGGGTCCGTGGCACTCTAACCATGGCAGCAGAAGGGTGCTGCACTCGATCTACCCAGGATAGCCAGCAGGCAAGGCCCTTTTGGGAGCCTGGAGGCACAAGGCAGGGTCCCTGCAAGTTCCCTCCATGCGCCTGGGCCTTACTTCCAACCCTGCTGACCATGAGGAGGTATGGAGCCAGGCTAGGATACCGGGTTGCAGGGGTATTGCACCTCCTGCCCCTTTGGGGAGAGTTGCACAGGGAGGAAAGCAGGGCACTGCTGCTTGACACCATGACCTGGAGGCTGAACCACATGGCACTGCCAGCTTCGGCGCTCCCCGGGGCCGCGGGACACTGGTGCTGGGATGCAGCACTGCTGTGTCCAGCTGCAAAGGAGCAGGATGCACCCCTCAGAGCTGGGGCCGGGGGCTGGACAGGGCTGTGCTGTCCCCTCCCTTCCCCCATGCATGCACATCTGTGCCAACACATGCCAGCTGCCCCCATGAAGTACCACTTGCTGGGGAGGAGGACAGACCGCCCGGCCCCCCTCTCTAGGGGCATCCCAGCCCCACTCCCAGCCAGCGAGATCCCTCCAGCTCTGCAGTGATTTCCTGTTCCTGGAAGCACCGTTTCACCCACTGCATCCTGTTTTCATGGAAAATTCATCCCAGTTGTGCATGGCGCCGACGCACATGCATCCGCTGGCGTCCCCAGGGTCCCCACTGGAGGGGACTACCGCTCAGGCCCAGGCTGGCTGCAAGGATTGCAAGCTGGCCACGCCGTCGGGGGGAAGTCCACGCGCTGCAGAAGCCAGGGCTGCGCTGCCGGACCCCTCTGCTGCGC